TTGAAATGGAGACTAAATGACGAACAAAATATCAAGAGAAATGGGATTTTTGATAAGAGATATAAATTAAAAAGAATAAAATGAGAATATACGAATTAAAAGAGGAAGATGCATTCTTATGAAATATATATTAAAATTGGTGAAATTATGATTTTAGCGAATTGTAAAGATATGTAGATTTCTTTTTATATAAGTTTCCCTTAAAAATGTGAATGTCCCTTAAAATTCTTGAGAGTACTTTACATTGAGAATAATTAAAAAAAAAAAAAATATCTTTAAAAAAGTAGCTAACAATAATCGCTAAACAATAATCGCATTTGAAATCTCGAACTTTATTTTCTAAAATTCTATTTTCTAATACTTCTATATTTTGAGATTTGTGGTGAGTTTATTAAAAATTATACTTAATCGATTCTTGAAATTTAAAATAAATTTATTTGTATTAAGCAAAACATTATATCAATTAGATATATCAAAAGAATTTTATTCTAATTCAGGAATAATAATTCTATGAGAAGAAAGATATCCTACGAAATCATTCGTTTCGTTTTATTTTGTCTGAGGAAATAGAAGAAAAAAATCGCAATATGAGTACAAATTTAAGTATAATATATATATATGAAAAGTACTTAAATTAGATACATACTATAAGCATAGGCTATAAGAGATGATTCATACAATTGAGATGAATCGTTTTTTTGTTAAAAGAAAAAAATAAAAAAAAAATAAATAAAAATAATACAAGTAATTCAATCAATTTATGAAAAAAATAAATAATTTTCCAATTTTTCTAAAGTAAAATTATATTTTAATTGCAATTATCCAAGTCATTTTTCAAGCGAATCAATAAAAAAAAATAGTAATAATAAAATATATTAAAATAATTTTTAATATATTTGAATTTTTCAAAATATTATAATATTTCTATAACTATTATATATTTTTTTCATTATTTTTCATTTCTTTATATTTTGTTATGAAAATAGCGAAAATAAATTTGAAAAAGTTAATTTCTAATATAATTCTTAATTACAATTCACAATATTTTACTTTTTTAAAAAAAACAATATGTTTTATTATGAAATTTAAAATATTTTATGAAATATTTGTATTTTGATTATCTACCTATTCTAATATTGAATATGAATAATATAAAAAAATATAACATTAGTATTATAGCATTAATTTACTAGAAAAGAATTCTATTACAAAATGACTGTTAATCTTTTTCTACAAGTATGTATACATATATACACAAGTATTACAAATAGGTATTATATATATACGTATTACATTTTGTATAAATATAAATATGTTAATAATAAGTCAATGTTATAGTACTAATTCTAATGCTATAATATTCTTTTGAAAGTTAGATATTAATAAAATTTATTATGTAATATATATTATAAACAACAAAAAATATTTAAAATAATATAATAATAAATTTCAATAAATTTTATAGATTCTTTCTAGATTTCTAAATTAATAGGTTATATCAATATGTATATATCATAGTATAAATATATAATTTATAAATTATTTATTTTTTATTTAGTCAATGATTAATGATCAAAAATAATATAAAATTTTAACTTCCTTTCATATCATATAATAATAATGTTGAATTATTCATGAACTATTAAATATCGAAACATTGTATAATAAATTAAGCAATCGATAACTTTCGAAAAAAATATTTTCTATGATATATCTTAACTTTTAAGAAAAATGGAACGGAATTCTTTTCAGACATTTCTACAATTTTCTTATGATCAATCATATATATTTTATAGAATTATAAAAGAAAAACACGAATAAAAAAATTAATATTAATTTTTCAATCATTACACGTATTTTTTAACGTCTTTTGTAGCGATAAAACGCGCATGCGTCAAATATTTTAAACTTGTATATAAAATTATACATCAGGTTTAATAACTGATGATATTCTAACCAAAACAAATAAAGCATAATTAAAATCTTAAATAAAATAAAATAGAAACTATTAATATATTTAAAATATAAAATTTCTTTTTTTTTTTTTATATATTTCATACAGATATTACCTTTTTTCTAGTTAGATACACAAAAGATCTATTACGCAATTTCAAAAATAAATTATGATTAACAAAATACAAAAAAGATATATTCAATTTGCTTTTTTTTATTCACAATAAACACAAAAATATAAAAAAATTTTTTTTTTTTACTAAACTAAATGCACATTGAAATCGCGCGAAATTACTCATTACATATAGCCACGTTTTCAAGATTGCATTTAAGAAACTACCTAAATATTAGATGACTGCATAAATTTGACATGCGATTTAGGTTGCGAACTGTGCTCCACCTACATTTATATTTTCGTAAACATCGATTATCTAATAATCTGGATTCTTTTATATTAATGATTATAAATTATTTATTTATAATATTAAATATGAAATAAAAAGATAAATGATAATACATAATGTCAAAAACATGAACAAAGAAATTTAAAAAGAATATTATAAAATTTATATATATATATATATATATATAAATAATCTATTATAGTATATAATCTATGATATAATTTGCAAATCGCAAAAAAACATTTTAGGAACGTCATCAATACGAAAAAAATAAGATAACAATAAAAATAATGTAATTTTTTCTTGGGAAATGCAAAATAAAATGCAAAAAAATAAATATAGAAGAAAATATCTTACCTAATAGTATACGGAAATATCTAACAATCAAATATAAACCCTCATAACCTTATCGGATGAAGATAACCTAAACTGAACTGATAAATGAAACGTGATGTATAAGCAAAATACTCAAAAAATAAAGAAAATTAATAAATAATAAATATAAATTCTACAAAAATATTAAAAAAAAATACATTTGATTATTGCCAAAAGTTTATTATCATTCTAACCTAGTATGCTTACATATTTTTACCATTCGACTGTGGATAAAATTAAATATCAAAATAAATATATTTTAATCTAAACTAGATTATCAAGAAAATAAACTAGTATTGCTAAGCTCGATTACCAAACCAAGAATAATATACAAGAAATTTATGAAAAAATTAATTAAAAACATGTGTTTTAAATACATAAAAATGAATTCCAACAATAATAGATTTTTTTTTTCTATTTTTCTTAATATGTAGGTCATTGTATTTATTAATTATAAAAAATTGATTTGTATAAAAAAGAAATAAAAAATACAATTCTTTTTTATCTTTCAATAAAATTCTGTATATATTCACAATACCGGATACCACCATCTTTATATCCCGTTTCTTATTCGGTGACATGCGATTGAAATAGTTTATTGATATAATCTATTAATCAATCTGATTTCTAAAAGTCTTCATAATATGTTTCTTTACATTGTTTGTAATTTCTTTAGTTTTTCCGAGATATCTATCATTTATCAAGAACTTTTAGTGTCTCAAAATTTAGAATATAACTCTCGCGGGCTAAATCTTTCAAAAACAAAACGCACTTCGCTTTAAGATTTGAAACATTGCAATGATAAACACGAAAGTATCCTATGAAAAATAATTCAAAACAGAGGTTATAAAAGAACACGCGGTACACGAATAGCAATACTTATAGTATATAGTTTTTGCACTAGAGTTTACACTGAATATATTACAGAGTTGGGTATAGATGGAAGCAGCGTATTAAAACGGGTTATCGACGACGAAGATACTTCGACAATCGAGAAAAACAGGCTTTAATACGAGAAAATAGCATCGCGTAACGTACCGTAAATTTGCGTGTAGAACACTTGCTTTAGCTAGATACATTTCTACGAAGAAGGAAAGTCATGGAGGATGCACGGATCGATGACTGGCTGGGAAACGGTCCCGGACAGAATGGCAAAATTCGCTGGTAATATCGCGCACTGTCACCGAATAAAATGGACTATTTGTAACCTCGTTTGACTATGCGATAATTGTCCCGTGCCCTTGTTTATCATAACGGGAACGCATTTTTTGTTGCCGGACAAAAAAGATAGCGGGACGATATGTCATGATCAAGAAAAATGTTTTCTGAAAATTATTTTACAATTTCGAAAAATGACCTCGAGATTATGCAAGAATCACGATTACGGATAATAGTCAAGATGTATACATTTGATATTACGTAGATAGAATAGCAATTCACAAATGGAATGTTCTACGATAAATATCTAAAAACGAGTTGTGATTAGCAACGTTTATTTCCGATAATAGATCAATGACTAGACTGAGAACATGCGACCACGAGATGCATTCGAAGGTTTCGAAAGCATGCACAACGTTAGACATACACGACATTCGTGTGTTTCTCAATAAATTTCATCGATAAGAAACACTCACTGCCAATGCTGAGAGTTCTCCATCGTGTTTTTCGCTTAGAACCCTTCTTGCCCATTTCTTGCGAAGACCGAGCTGGTCCTCCTCCCTTCTGTCTCTCGTCTCCCCTGCGATCTCGGCCAACCTTCTAGAACGACAGCTCCACCAAAACCATGTTGATCATGATTGATCTTGCCACTACCTTCGCGGTAGCATTTTATGAACTATCCACCGACCAGTGTATCCCGCGTTACTAGTCTTTTTGAGAAAAAAAGCTTTGGAACGAAACGAACCAACAAACGAGGCCTGCTCGTAGCAGAAGACAACTCTAATACGTAATCCGCGCCGCACGAATAGCGACCGCATACTGCTGTCCCCACCTCACCCCTCCCTGTTGGTCCCCACCCTTCTCGCACTGATCCCCTACCACTGCTTGTGTCATATTCGATATATCGCGCTATATGTTCAATTTCTAATCATATTTCTACGATTTGAAAAGATTTTTTCATAAGAAATATATACACATGATATTTCTAAACTAAATTATAATACAGGAGTATATAGATATTGAATGTCATACAAATTTTCAGCAATAAAACTAATTAAAAGTTTAAACTTTAAGGCTAAAACTTTTTGAATAGGAGCCAATTGTCACATGCGCAATAGTTTAATGATTCTGTGTCACGATTGGATGTTGCCATAGTAACCAGAGTAAGCTTTTACCCGCCATTTTATCCGGCTTCAGACATATTAAGGTATGATCTTTTTTGTATACTTTTAAAATTTTTTTTTAAATTCTATTCATTCTAATAATAGTGGTTAATATTTTCGAGAAAATTATTTTATGAATTTATTATTTTCTTATTTAAATATATAAAAAAAAATAAATATATTTCTTCATTTTTTATTTTTATAGGTTAAGCAAATTTATTCATAAAACGAAAATGATGAAAATATTATCATTGCATGAATTCGATGTTCCTTCCTCCGATGAATTGGCTACTGTTGCACTTATAGAAGATGTTTTACATTATTGTGAATATGAAAACCTAACAGATGAATTGCAACCCTTTTTTAAATATGTGCGAGAATATCCCGAGATTTCTATTACTCCTGATATTCTTGCCACACGTGAAACGGCACATACTATTTGTGCTGATGATTTATTTTTGCCAGTTCATGATAGCATTTTTAAAAAACTTGCTAGCATATGCAGAGAAAAAGGATTTATTGAAGCTGTCTGTTTGGCTGCATCTGCAGAACCACAGGAAGTGACACCAATTTTGCATTGGATAGCTACGAGGTATCAATAATAATTAATATTTAAGATTTTTTATTTCATTTTTATTTAAAATATTTCTTAATTTAAAATTTAGACTTAAATGGATGTTAGATATAATGGATAAAGGAATATATCAAAAAGAAATTTTGCCAACTTGTGGATCTGGATCAATTGCTGATATTGTTCATACAAGGGATTGGGAAACATCTCTTGTAAGATTGTATTGATATAAATGATTTGATATTTTTATAATATATATTAAAGTTTTTGTGATAATCTTTAGATTAGATGTCTCTCTTGGCATCCACATTGTACACGACTGGCAGTAGTCACAAGAGATGACCGTATACGTATTTTTTCTCAAGGAATATCAATGGTACCAATTTTAAAACATAGTGCTCAAAAATCTGTTTGCTGTATAAGTTGGAGGCCACTTGCTGGCAAAGAATTGGCCGTGGCATGTCATGTAGGAGTCTTGGTTTGGACAATAGAATTAGGAGCAGCTAGTAATTTTCTTAGTCAAGCAATATTATTAAAACAAAGAAATCATGCCCCTGTAACAAGTGTTGCATGGCATCCACAGGGTGATCTATTAGTATCTTGTTCTCCTGTGGATACGCGTATGTTTATCTGGGATACTTCTAAAAAAGAAGGTGTTCCGTTGAAACGAATTGGTGGCGACGGATTATGTTTTGTACATTGGTCATCTTGTGGTTTTAGATTATTTTCTGCTACATGTAAAAATATATTTAGGTATAATATTTTCAATATTTGTATTTTTATATAAATTTTATTTTATATATTAATGATTATATGTAGAGTATGGAATACGGGAGCAGCAACATCGTGGCATGCAGATAAATGGACAGTGCCTAATGATCGTGTAGCAGTTGCATGTTTTGGTCCAAATTTAACTTTATTATTTGCGTCAAATGAAGATCCTGGTACGATATTTTCTCTACCTCTGCAAGAAAATATTTTTGACGTCAAAAAGCCTTCTTTTGACGATGCAAAAATGGCAGTACCTCTGATAGATTTAACGAAAGTTAATTTTTCACTGGATGATGATTGTGTTACTGTTGGCGGGAGGATAACTGCAATGGAATGGGATCCTACAGGAAAATATCTTGCTATTCTTTTCCAGGTATATTTTTTTATTTTATTAAACTTAACTTAACTTAATTTTAAAACTTTATCTTAAATTGTATATTTTAATAATAGATTTTTTTTAATTATTTAGGATAGTCCATATATTGCATTAGTTAAAACAAAATTAGGACATCTATCGCGTCTAATTGAGATTAAACCAAGTTGTCTTATTAAAGGATATCCGGGAGAAGTTCCAAATTGTATGAACTTCTATCAGAAATATAAAAATGAATCGGACAATATAGTTTGTTTAACAATTGCATGGAATAGTGGTCGTATTCAACATTTTCCAATAATTGAGAAGGAAAGTGTTCGTACTGTAAATATATGTACTACACCCTTATCACATTCATTTTCGATGAGACACGACATGTACAATTTCAATTTAACCGTTACTTATTGATAACGTTTCTTGTTAAACAAAAAACTATAAAAATTTTAATTATTTAATTATTAATTTTTTTCAAATTTTTTATTTGTTAATAGGATTCAATATAAACGTTTAATTTATTTTATTACATCATTATAAAAAAATAAGAAATCGTTCATTTATATATGATATGACGTTCTTAACTGCCACATAACATTTCGACAGAAATTATATAATACTTCATAATCGATTCGTCAGCATTTCATCTAGAAGAAAAAACATCAGAGACCTGTGTTAAACTCTAATGTGTTAGCTTCCTAACGTATGGGATATACAACACGAAGATTCTCGGGTTCGGTACCTAATTATACAAAGTCACATGCAGAGCGCACGTCTTTCTATTTTTATATCGCTTGACCGAATGCTGAACATCGACACGTATGTACGTATGTGATGGGTCCCGCACTATTTCCAATACGCTTTCCATCCACTTTTACCACTACCAATTCCAAACACAAATTAACCGTTCCATCGTTTTAGAAATCCTGTCGTTCTAAATATACATTTTTTAAATCCAGTTTATCAACTTGGTCTGTCACTTTATTCATGATTTATGAAATATTATATGATATATTGAAAAAATATACTTAAAATTTTTAATATAATTGTTGCATTTCATTTAAAATTGATCAGACAGTCAAGATCATTGAGAAATATTCAAACAATATTTATTATATTAGCAATATATATCTAGTACCATATATTTAATATTTACAATTCGTTATTGTTTCGTCTTTTTACTATACTATTCGATGATTTATTTTAGAAATAAATTTCAGCATTATAAAAAAAATCTTTTTAAAAATCATAAAAAATTAAGATATTTTTATCTAACTTAAAAATTGAATATTAAAAAATAAAATTTTAAAATTTTTAGATAAATAATTGAATTTTAAATCAAGATAATTTCTAATTTCATTTCTAATTACAAAAAGTAATTTCCTATAAGTGACATACCTAATCAATTATCAGTATTAGATAAACTGGTTTTAAAAACTCGAGTTTATTCAGATTATATTATATAGGATCTAGATTATATTATAGAGGATCTAGAAGAGGGGATTAACCGCTTTGAATCCTCACCGATTAAAAATTCGTTAAAACACCTTTTTTTTCTCTCCCTTCTTCATTCTCTCTCTGTTATTGCATCCGTATGGGGTGTACGATCGAAATCCTTTTTCCAGTATATTTATTTTAATGGCAGTCGTACACATGCGGTGACTATGGTACGAACAGAGTTGACAGGTGCCTGGACAAAAAAGCGTGGTCGAGAGCGAGCATAGTATGTATAATGTAAGCATAGAGGGCTGGCAGGCCACATGTGCCACTCTATCACTTATCTACCCGTAATATGACGTATAACTCGACCATAAGATGCAACTGTGAACGCATGTCTATATATGTATGCGTGAATGCAACAGTCAAGATACGTGTATATATATATATAGGAATGAGTAGGAGGATGAACGGACATGTTTCTGTATGTATGTGCTTGGAAGAAAGCATCCGAAAATCGTGATGTCACGAGAATTGCTTTGGAATCATAACAATGCGTTTTGAATAACATTGATGAATTGCAAATGGTCTTTTTTTTCTTTTTATTCTTTCTTGCGTTATCTAAAATATTGTTCTAATAGTTTATCTTGAATTATTATTGTAGATGACATTGGTGATAGTAACAATAATGCTTATGAAATTATACATAAATGAAACTTGGTATATTTAATAAGTGAACTATTAAAGTAAAAATTACAATTAATTGAATAAATTGATTTTTTGGTTGTTTACGTTAATATTTGTCAATGATTTAAGGATATGTAAAGGTAATAATTGTTATTAAATAATTATTTAAATATTTTTGATCTTTTTAGTTATATCAATTATAAAGAATTTTTTATATATTGTTCTTAAAATAGTCTGATAGAAAAAAAAATTGAGTGATATTAAAAATAAATAATAATAAATAAAATAAAAATATGGAAAAATTAGAAAATGTCATAAATCAATTTTTGATACTTAAGATTAATTGGCATCAGAAAAAAAATAATTATAACGTCAATATATTATATATTATAAAATTATTAAAAATAGACATTTCTTATTTTTCTCTATTTTGAATGTAATTTTATTTGTATATATTATAAAATTTATTTGTATATATTATATATAGTATTTTTTCTAATTTTATATTTAAATATTACTAATAAAATATTTATTTTAAAATCATTTTTAAATTGAGCATTTAATTTAATAATATTTAATAATAGTTTTCAAATTCTTCTTTATTTTCAATATAATAACAATTTAAAATTACTTAAATGATTTCAGAACTTCATATAATCTTCAAGCCTCATATATCCAGCATCCTTAAATCAAGAATACCACATTTATATCAAGAATTTAAAAATATCCTAGTATATTCAAAACATGAATTATATTCCCAATCAAGCATATTTACGTGAAAATTCATGATGCAATTGAGGAAGAGGGAAACAAAGAAATCGGTAAAATAATAGTAGACTGTAATAAAAAAAAGGAGTGAACGACTTATCCTCATATGTGCGCGCAAAGCTGTTGTTAATAAGTGACGCGTGTGCGGCAGCTGGTTTTACGTTTTTTGCCTTGCACCCGATTCTCGGGGTTCGAGCGACGAAAGATCGACCTAAGCACCCCCTTCTCTGCTATTTTCCCTGTTTCTGTCTCTTGCCTGAATTCTGTTGTACTCGATTTGGAATATTTCTTAACAGATTTTCATAGAGACACGCGACATGTAACAGAATCAATCAATGGTAAATGAATATTTTTTAATGTTAATAATCTATTAGAAATAAATTTTAAAATTATAATTATTTTGAAAAATATTCGATCATGAAAAATCAAAAAAAATCAAATTTGTGTATCTATAAATTGGTTAACTCATTTTAAATTGGAATTATTAGAACATTTTAAATTTATTTAATTATTATTTAAATTACTTTTTACAAAATTGTTAACATTTTGCAATTGAAGATGAAAATTGTGAATCTTATCAATTTTCTCTATTGAATTTCTTTCATTAAATCGCAATTCTTACTTTTTTATTTTCAAATTACAATCAATCCATCAAGTTTTATTATCAACAATGGCATAAATATACATCATACATCACTATCTTAATTTATTCGAGATCTTCCAAATCATTATCAGTAAATTCATTCGATCTTTTTTCTTTCACAAGCCAATACCATTTGATCTTTTTTAGAGATCAAATGGATCGAACCTTATCGATCAAAAGGCAAATACGTTAAACAACAAATGACGTAATATCGAAGCAGTTCATCAGCCCTGAAGACAATTCATCGGACATAATCGTTCCAAGAATCTAGGAATGGGTAAAAAAAACTCTCATAGAAGATGAATTCGAATGGGCAGCCAAGAAAAAGAGAGACGACAGACGCGCATGCAGATGTTTCGCGCCACCCTGAAACCGATGAGGCTGAGGCAAGTGCACAGAGATGCACACAAGTGTCGGAGGATCTTCTCCTCCTTCTTCTCCTCCTCCTCTTCTTTTCTGTGTATCTCGAGGGGAACGAAGCACAGCCACGCGAGTGGGCGGCGCGTACCCTTCTCGAAAGCTTCTTCCCTTGCTGTTTAAACAGGGGTAGAGGGGATCTTCTGTATCGTTTGGAAGAACATTACGATGTCTTGTCTTAGTTGATAGTCGTCGAGAAGACGCGGGAACGAATGTATGCAGTCGAGATATATCTAGGGTCAGTTCTGAGCAACGTGTCTAGCCATTTATTCGGCCACCCTGCATCCACTTCGTTTTTCCTCGCGCGATCTTGATCGCGCAAGTACACGTGACGCGTGGACCTTGATAAGTGATAAGCTTATCATATTGAAAGAGTTATTGAGAATCTGTCGAAGAGAAGAGATTTTCTGCGACTCAGTGCTTGTGGAGTTTATTTGGGCAGCTTAAAAATTGAATTTTGTAAGTGGACAGTGAAGGATCAGTTAGGTGGATGTTGATGTTGCTGCAATATGGTGATTTTATCAGTCAGTTGGTGATTTATGTTGATGAATTTTGTCGATATTGATGATCAATTGTAAAAGAATCAGTAACAAGTAAAAATATTACAAATAGAATATAAAACGAAAAATATATATCGTGACAAGCATTGTTAATCAATTGTGATTATAATTATAATAGTGAAATCTCGAAGTTGAATAATTGAAATTAATTCTAATAAAAAAGTTGAAAACAATAAAAAATCGATTATATCATAAGTTTCGTGATCGTGAATTGAAAATATATTTTATTAATCTGTAAACACACATTTCATTCATAAATTCAATGATATAGCCCAGGATTCTGGAATTCCAGAAATTCTTTCAATACTATTTTACTCACGTGCTGTTCCCGATTATTCGAGCTATTATCGCTTCATATCATGCATGACGAATTGCAACATCTCGAATCATGTTTTTGACGTCTCCGTAACTTTCCATTCAATCTTCTCGCCAACTTACCGTACACAAATTTTGCAAATTTATTTAAATAATTTCTCTATCGTTAAAAATCATTTTCTTACTACATTAATATCATTCACGAATTTACAGATTGCACCAAGATGCATCTTGAAGACTATCACGTGAGTAGAAGCGAGGAGGATGTGCAACGAACAATTTCCAAAAATATCAAACAAGAAGACTTCAATACTTTACACTTAGCACCTATCACCTCCATAAACACAAGTAATCAACAATCCTGTTGGATCACTTCTCACGCAGAGAACATTTCATCTCCTATTCTACCTAATAATTCCAGTCCTAAAGAATATACAGATTGGGATCAGCTCACGACCGTTTTCCAATATCCCTGTCAGCCATATTCATCTACAGACAGGTCACCAGAAAGTACCAGTAACGAAGCCACTACACCAACGTGGAATAACATCATTCATAGTGAAATATCAGATTGTTCCAATGGACAAAAACTACCCTCGGTTGGTTCTGCATTTTCTTTCTCAAGAACCTTCTGCAACACCATTTATCCAGAATATCAAGGTTATCAGGATTATCAGGAGTATCAGGATGACGTATCAGTATCTTTACCGCTTATTCTTCACAATCAAACTGAGGATCAAGGATTTAGTGGATCCATGCAAGCAATTACAGATGAATTTGATCTTAGTTTAATTAGGGGTGATCCTACATCACTCTTGTGTACCAATGTAGAGTCTCCTTCTTCACCCTCATCTATGTATTTAGAAGAACTTCAAGATCCATTTTCTAATTTGAATGGATCTTGTTACGCGGTTGGACATTTGGTTTCTGGACAACAGGCCTCGGTTTCCACGATGAATTTTGTTAATGATACTGGATTGAATGATGGATTTGGAAATCAAATTGTTTTGCCTAGAAACGAAGGCTTATTATTGACTGATAGGAGAGTGCCAGTATCCAAGACCGCGCAAGATATGGAGAAACGAAGCAAATCTTTCGGTGAGTTTGATTTAAATTTTTCAATTAACATATTGTTCATTGACCATTAATGTATTTATATTAATTGTGAATTAATAATAAATTGTATTCAAGTTTTTCATATAATTATGAAGATATTCATTTTCTACAATTATTTTTAATCTCTGTATCATTTTTTATTCTTCTTTCATTAAACTTCTTTTGCATTAATCATTGTTTTAAATTTAGCTATCAAAAAAATTATATTATTTATAAAATGATCTAATATATCATCTGAAAAATTATTTTTCTCGCACCTGGTGTACTCGGGAAGTAACCGAAAGGACTTGTTTTAAGAATATCATAAATAAACATAGACTAGTCGAGAAATGCCTCTTGACTACTATCCTCAAGTATAGCAAGTAGTTTCAAGTAGTTTTTCTTAACGAGTCTCGAGATTTACAGCTTGTTTACACACTGATGACATGTTGTTTCGTTTTTAGATAGTTCAACAACCGACGAAAATTTGACGTCGACGTATCAATGTCGATGGATAGATTGCGGTTGCGCTTTTGCCGAACAAGAAGGACTAGTTCGTCATATTGAGAGAAGGCACGTAGAATCTTCGTCATCGAATTCTCATGGACATGGGAGACGAGTCCAAAGGGATAGGGACAAGGATAAAGATAAAGAAGGGGAAACTTACACAGGTTCCGGAAGTGGACAGGATGAATTTGCTTGTTTGTGGCAAGGATGTCCTCGTGCTCGACCTTTTAATGCGAGATACAAGCTGTTGATTCATATGAGGGTTCATAGTGGAGAAAAACCGAATAAGTGTCCGGTATGTAAGTTTATTAATTTTAAAACTTTTAAAATATGTTTCCTATGGAATACAAGATTTAATGCTTTTATTATAAATAAATTTTGAAGGTAGATTTGATTCAATTTAATTAGAATAGAATGTACGTATAAAAATATCATATATTAGATAAAAATGAAATATGGTTTTTCACGATAAATATTTTGGAATTAGATTGAAAAATCATAAATGAATATACAAAAAGATTTTTATATAAGAAGTGTCACAAATAAATTTTTTAAATTGTAAGATCATCTGATTGTTTGATTAAATATAAAATTATAAAATTGATAAACTATATCAAACTTGTGAAATTATTATTATAATTAGTAAATTATTGTGCAAAGGAATGCAGATATTATCTTTGAAAATATATATTTTGAAATATTTTTATTCATAAATTTTATCAATCAATAATTAACAATAATTTTTATATTTCATGTGTATATTTTTTAACAATATTCTATTTAATAATCAACAAAGTATTTCAAAATATTTACACTAATCTCCTTATCTATATTTAAAATTCTTAAATTCTTGAATAAGCTTTACTAAATAATAATTAAAAAAATAATTAATTAAAATAAATATCTTTTTTATAATTCATTTAATTTTCTTAAATAATTGCATTAAGTAGTCTTAAATCAAATTTAGTCGGACATCGAATTATATTAACCATTAAATAAAATTAATAGTTGATTAAAATTGCCAAAAATTATTAATTTTTTAATTTTTATAGTTCACTGGATGCAAGAAGGCATTTTCACGATTAGAAAATCTAAAAATTCACCAAAGATCTCATACGGGAGAAAGACCATATGCTTGTCAGCATCGTGGTTGTTCCAAAGCATTTAGTAATAGTAGTGATCGTGCGAAACATCAGAGAACTCATTATGATACGGTGAGTTTATTATTATTTTATCTAATTGTAAGTATATGAATTAATAAATCTATTTCACTTTTGATATTGAATAGCAAGAGAAAATTATATTAATAAAATTTAGATAACAAATAATATTGATTCAAAGAGATTAATATGATGTACTTTTTAATATATGTTTTATTGAATCAGCGATATACATAATTTCAAAATATTTATCACATATTTTGATTTGAATTGTTTGCATATGTTTGATATTAATGTTTTACAATAAATATCGACAGTAATTTAATATTTCTTTGTTACAAGAATCGCAATTGAGAAATATTTTATCATGAAACATATAAAATGTGAAATTTATTTTCATTTATACTTGTTATGAATAGGTAAAGGAACATTATGTTTCTAAATTACAATTAATTATTTAATTATTTACTAAGAATTTCAAATAATAATTCTTTGATATTTGTATGATGAAAATTATTTTGTATACTGTTACTTTATTTTTTAAAATAATTAAAATTTTTATTACTATGATTTTTGTATAATTTAAATATTTATTGAAATTTAAATATATTTCTTTGTAATTGATATTGCATAAAATGTATTATGGAATATTACTCGATCATAAAAAAAAATAATTTAAAGAAAACTGCTTATCGCTAATGTTGAAATTTTGTAGAGTGAGAGGTCAGTGAATATAAACCATATATTGAAATCGTTTAAAAAGCTCGTATTTTCAAATGTAAAATTTTGTTGTTATATAATACAACAATATAAATAACAATCTTATTGTTAATAAATATTGGAATATTCAAAATCTCATTTGAAAATTTTCATAATTTAAAAATTTTTATTAATCATTTTAAGCAAAGAACAATGTTTATAACAGTACTTATAAATACTCGTTTGAATTTTCAGAAACCATATGCGTGTCAAGTAACCGGATGTGGAAAAAGGTATACAGATCCGTCCAGTTTGAGAAAACATGTGAAGAATCATTCAGAGCCACCGATTTCATTGCCTAATCCTTCGTTAACGCCAGATAGCAAAAGTTCTGGTAATATAATTAGTAATAATAACTTACGGCACGATTCAATTTCTACGAGTTCAAAGCAGCAACAGCAACAGATCGGCTATACAGAAGAATCGAATTATCGAACGTATAAGACTTCGGAATCTTATGCGGACGAGGACGTGGATCTGTTCCAGACGAATCTGTGTCAGGTCGATAGGATTTCCATGAACCTTGACAGCAATCAAGAATATATTCCTATCGATTCTGTGAAACGCTTTCTCATCGACGACGTCAATGGATCGCACGTGGATGGTACAGGTAAGGAAAAGATCTATAATTAACAAAGATTTAGATCATTCATACATATTTTTCATTAAAAGAAAAATGAGAAAATTGATAAAAAGTAAGATATTTTATTAAAAATATTAATATTTTTGTTTTAAAAAGCTTTTTATTTTTTCTTATCTTTTTCTTTTCTTTACTTGATAAATTTTTTAACACTTGGAATGAAATAACTAAAAAATTCTAAAAACATGCAATAAAACAATTATTAACATATTTAATATATCTCTAAAATCATAGGCTTCATTAATTTCCTTAAATAAATAGAAGAATTATTTTCAATTTTCTATTCTAATTTAGGACTATAAATATATCAAATTTTAACAAAATTTAGATTAATACTTGTATTAATATTCGTATTAATACTTATGTTATATAAAAAAAAAACACATATTTTATTTACTATTCAAAAAAAAAAAAATGAAAAATAATCAATTATACGAAATAGTAGAAAATGAGAAGAATAAAATGTGTTTGAGATCATGAATGGAACATATTAATGTAATATATACACGAGAATTTATATAAATAAATTTTGGAAATGAAATGAAGAAACGTATTTATCAGAAAATTTAAATCATTTTAATATCATTCCTTATACATTTTATGATCGAAGGATGATCAAATGAACAAAGAAAATTTTTCGTACAGGAAATTTTAATTGTATCCAAAGCGCATCGATAAAAATTCGAAGAACGCGCAGTAAAGCCAGCACGAGGCAAACATTTCGACAAAAAAGTCGGCCTATCGTTGTTCGCCGACCCGTACGAATCTTTATTGTACTGGTACCGCGCGTGCTATCTTTTTCTGTCACGGTGAATGGTAACGATGCCGATGACAGTGCGCGTTTCGCTCCACCATGCTTAATCTCAGAGGAGGTTCAAACGCTTTACGCGTTTACCCCACACCGAGTCTTAAAATAATATTCCAGAGTTTTTTGGTCTGGAGCACACGCACGTACGCACGCGCCAAAACAGACGATGCGACTGTCACGTGCGACACACGCGTGCCCTTTTAAATTCCAGCCCTCTCGAAGCTGCGATTTCTATCAAATAATATAACTAGAAAGATAAGATCGAATTTCAATATTTTGTATTCGCGAATCCAAATTAATGGAAATACTTAAGTTTCATTTTGTCGAATTTGGTTGTATCATTCATTAAAGATGAGATCGAATCAGATTGAAAATATGTTCAAATTTGATTAAAAAATACCGAATATTTTATAATATTATTATAATTCTAATATTTTCTAATTGTCTCTAAGCAATAATGGAAAGAAAGAACTAATACTTTTCAATACTTTTAAATAATCTAATAAATGCTTTTAAACATTCTTTATAAGTATTATATGGATAAATAAAGAAAAAAAAATTATTTTTAATAGATTCAATATATATGAAAATAGTTGTTTGTGGCCGAAAGTTCTTTCATCAGAAATTATATGTGACAATGAATGAATTAGGCACAAGCAATTAGCTATCTTCTTTTATCTACGTTATCTTCTCTATTTCATCTCTTTATTAAATATATATATTTGCATATAAGAACTCATATAAAATAACTTTTTCAGAATTTTCATAATTTATATCTTGATTCAACTTAAAGTAATTTTTTTTTTTATGCAAGTATTCAAATTTCTAATCAGATAATCTGCAATATATTATTTAATCTCATTCTGTATATGATTATTTCAAAGATCCACTTTTTATTTTTAAATTGTTCAAAATTTATTTTCAATTGACGACGAATTTAATTAATTTAGAAATCATATCTTTTAAATCTTTGATTTAATTTTATAACAAAAAACTATTAGCGCACTAGTAATCATCGATATTTATTTTTTTTTTTTACAGGATACCAGGTCGAGGATGAAGTTCCTGACTTTCAAGAGCTTGGTTCAGATATTGAACAGCAATTTTTCGAATTAAGTAATCTGGATGATGCGGTTTTCATCGATGGCTAAGGAAAATGTTTAGAAGAAAGAGATTCGAGATGTCTTCATGGTGAATGCCAATATTTCCAAAGACTTTTTCCATTTTTTTTTGTACTCGATTTTTATACGCTGATTCGATTACTTGATAGATATATTTTTGTACATAGACAATTGTATATATTATGATTAAATATATGATTTTGATTATTATCAATTTTCATATTCCTTTGGATCGTATGATTTCATGTGAATTAAAAAGAAATCTGATTTCTCATCTTATTTTCTGAATTCTAATGTGAAAATTAGTAGTAATAAAATTAAATTTTCATGTAAGAATAGGAAAATTTGTTATGCTTATAAAAGATGAATAGTTTATTTTTGTATTTCTCATATATTGAGTCATATATAGTGACAGTTTTTTCTGGATTATTCAGTTACAATTTCTTAATACAATAGATACATATTTTTCCAATACATAATTTCCACACAAATCAATTTTATTAATAATTTTCTCACATGTCATAATCATTACACAAATGTTTAACAAAATACGTAGCTTATACAAAATACAATATCATTGCGAAAAATCAAGAAGTTTGCTTTCACAAGTGGGAATTAGAATTCTCTTTTCCATATTGAATTTATCATTAACTTATTATATATAATCCTTCACGTGGATTATAGCGAAACACTGCAGTTTGTATAAAAATGTGATCCATTCACTACAAAGATCTTTTAGTAGCAAAAGGGTTAAGTAATGATTATTTGCAAGCACTGCATTGAGACGGTTTCGTTCCATCTAAAGAGTCGCAAATTAATTTAAAGAAATTATTTTGTGCAGCGCTTTGTATCTCCCTTGAATTCACCTGAAATAGACAAATGGTTAAACATAATCATAAATTTAAGAATGATTAAAGAATGATTCAGCATTAATTAAACGCGCATACAAAAGAAACGTGCTTGCAATATTGAATACTCACTCCATTGATTGTGATCGTTGGAACAAAAGAGAGATCGGGTTTCAACTCTTGCGTTTTCTTGCCATACTCAACTAACAATTCATTGGATAGAGAGCTGTTAATGCATTCGTTAATGTTCGCTTGCGTTTGTTCGTTTAATCCTTCTTTTTCGGCGCACTAGAAGTTTAATCAAATTTATTTATTTTTATAAAAAAATTTCATCTATTTTAAAAATATAAAATTTTTGTGAAATTTTTAATAGTTTTTTTAAAGAAGTTTTTTTATCGAAAATATCAAATTTTAATTTAGATATGCTGACTAATTTAAATAATTAATTTTAATTATAAAATTATAATTATATCAAATTTCTTAATTATATCAAATTTCAAATTTCATAAATATGAATGCTGTATAATTTTAAAAAATTTAAATGTTATTAGAATAAAAAATTAGTAATAATGCAAAATAATAATAATTATTATTATAGATATTAAAAATATTGAAAAAAAATATTGAAAAACTTCAATAATTTATGTCTTTAATACTTCTACTTTACTCTATCAATGCTTCTTAAAAATTGTGACACGAAGACAAAACATTAACTTTATAAATATTTTTTTTTGCTGATAAAATCGATAATTTCCGTTATCTAAAAACATTCTTATCTTGCTATTATATATAGCAACATTAGTAACTTGAAGTTTTTAAATCTCTTAATATTTTCAATATCTCAGGCTAATAATTTATAATTTAGTACTCATACGAAATAAGATTATAATTGAAGACTGGACATAAAAAAAAATTATATGAATAAAAACTAAAGTTCTTAAGAAAACAATTTTTTAATTACAAATATCTATATCTCATACTCTAATATATCTATATCTCATTTTTTATTTTAATATTTTTATTTTAATAATTTTAAATTTAAGTATTTATGAAATATACGAAACTTTTCAATCAGATTTCACTCAATTTTAATAATTGCTGAATGTTTTTTATTGGAAGCATGTGCAAATTTGTTTTATAAAAATCTTTTATAAATGTGTATTTTTGTATTTTTGTATACATGAATCATAAAATATGATTTTTGATTAAAAATTAATGAAAAATCTTGAGGATCATTGAATATTGCTAAGAAGAAAATGATAAATAAATATATACCTCTAAAATGGAAGATGGTGGGAATCGCGACGTCATTGCACAACCAATCAAACTCACAGTAAGTTGTTGAATTTTATCAGCCGATTCGTTGTTCTGTATCGCATGAATGCCGCATGCCTGAGCCTTATTCCCATTGCACTCGTCTATTCCATGTTGACATGAGAAGTGCCATTTTTGAGTGTTAGGATCTTGCCAGTACTATATATTTAAAATTAGATAATATTGTATTCAGTACAATAAATTAATTTTTAAACTTCGTAATATATAAATAATTTCGTAAACTTGCTGGAAAAATAACATAACTCAAGATTTATATTTATTGATATAGAAAATCGTTGCTTGTATTTTTTTTTTAACCTGAAGTAATCCTATAAATAAGATTTCAAATTGTGAATTTTTAATTTGATATTTTAATATAATGTGATTTGAATGATTCAAAATGATTATCTTTTAAAAAATCATAATTTTTTAATCATTTCTAATTATGTTACAATTCTAATGAATATGCGATATGTGATAAGAAGCAATAATATATATGTAATAACATGATAATAACTTTTTTGAATTTTTTTTTAAAATGCATTTTTGAATCAATGCCAATCAATCAATGTGAAAACAATATCAATATTATATAAAATATCAATATTATATATAAATTAAGATTGCAAATGATATATAAATCGATACTAATAAATAAATCGATACTATAAATATAATATATTTAAGCACAAGTTAAAATAATTTTAGAATATAAAAAATTTTTATAATTAATTTTTAATCTAGTAATAATTACTTTTAATTCTTAAGAAGAATTAAAGATTGATTAAATAAAGATTGCGATGAATAATTTAAATTGTAAAACGTTAATTGAAATTTTCTTAATTATATTAAATGTTTTCAAAATCGATATATTGTAATAAATGAGATAGAGGAAATTTTAATGCAAACCTCAACTCACCGTTGCTTTCCCATAGGGAATGAAAGAAACGCTGATGTAATCCTTTAGTATATCATATTGAGGCAATAGTTGTTGCTTGATCCATCGTATACTATCTGGACACAGCGATTCATAATAAACATCAACATTTAATCTGTTTGTTGCTACATTGCCGGCCACCTATACAATTAGATAGTAAATTATCATGAACTGATTATAAAAATGCAATATCTAATTATGTCTATCATGTTTATTATTTTTTTTCTATAGTTATAATAAAATATAAGTAATATTTAACGAAATTATATTTATCAGTGATCTATATTCCTTTATGTAATTTTCGGTATTTTTATATTATTTCGATATTTTATATTATATTAAAAATTAATACTTAAAATTTTGATATATTTTATTTTTAAATAATATTCATAATTTATTTTTAATATGAAATTATTATATTATATATAATATATTAATACATTATTAATTCTAATAATTATTAAACATTATTAATTCTATTAATTTCTATACTTTTTAAAATAATCTAAATTTATTTTTCATTGTAATAATATTATTATATAAATATAATAAGTATAATAAATATAATAATAAATATTATATTTTTTCTTCATTTCATCGCAATATTTTATGATATTCTAAAATCTTTATATACTTCAAAATATTGCAAAATTTTAATAATTAAGTTATGAAATTACAATACAACTTATGAATTTTAAAATTCGTAACTTAGTTCATGATGAATTAATCAATAAGATTGTAATTCAATTAGTGGGTAAAAAAGATATAATATATTTTTCAATCTCTTGTGACTCTTAAAACAAAGAAACAGCATCATCATGAATATCTAATAAACAGGTTCAGGTACTCAAGATTAAAACTTCTTTAAAACCGGATTTATTTTTAGCATTCCACTAGTGTACAAAAATAGAAAGTTATTAGAGTTCCAAATTAAAATTATCAATCAATCATTAGATATCAAATCAATTGATATTAATTTTTTTTCATTTTTTAAAAAATTATCAGAAAAGATAAAAGTATTAAAACAATGATATAATTACGAAATTGCAAATAATTGTTCTTGTTATCTAACATATCAAAAGATCAAAGAAATTAGATTAAGATTTATATATATTCTACACATTTTGTTAAATATAACTAATTTTTGTAAATAATATAAAAATTCTTGAAAAATTAAAAAATATATTATGAAAAATCAAATATAGAACATTAGAAAATAATCCTTAAAAAAAAAAGGAATCGATAAAGAGAAGAAAGTTGTTATTTATGCAGTTACTATTAAAAAGGATTAATTTTTATTTATAAATAATATAAAAAAATTAATTATTTTATTTCAAATAAGTAAAAAAAATAATAATATAAAATTTTATATTATAATAATTAAATAATTATAGAGAATATTTTACATATACATTATTAATAGATATTATGGATTAAATAGATGGATTAAATTTCGAGACGCAAATTTGTAATATTCTGCATGAATCATAAATCATAAATTGGCTAGCTATTATAATCCATTACTTAAGGGTTAAAATAATATGTTTGGTACAACTTGTAGACGACAGAATATTAATAATAATAATATTATTTTTATTATTTGTTAATTAAGTAAAAAAAAATATTTAAAAATACAAAAATGATTTCAATAAAAATAAATTATTTATGTAAAATAGAAATCAATTAATTGCAATTTAAAAATAACTTATTTTAATATATAAAACTCTATTCTATACTTTTGTCCATTATAATCTCTTGTAATAATCCATAATATTTAAAAAAGATCATCAATATGATTAAATTGTCATTATTGTGGATACAAAAATTTATTTATTCAGACACATCCTTTTTTTATTGTATCATATTTATGTTTTTAAAATGAATTTAATTCGCAATGCTTAATTTTCCAATGAAAAATTAATTATAAATGAATATAATAAAAATTAATTGATATATATATATATATATATATATATATACATATATATATACATATGACACATACATATTATATAATATAGAAATAAACAAAAATTGTACATTTTAAATAAAAATATATAGAATCTCTATATTTCAAATGAAAATAAAAGAAAATTCCAAATGACATTATAAAATTTTCTATTTAGAATTATAAGAGAAATATAATAGAAAAAAAATTCTTTTAATTTAAAATTTCAATAAATAAAATTTTGTATTCAAAATTGTAAATTCTAAATAAAGACACACAAAATTTAAAATTACATTTAAAATTAATTTTTAAAAATATATGCTTGACGACAATCCATTAAAAGTAAAAGTAAAAGAATTTTCACTCACCGAGTCACTATGACCGAAGAACGCGACGAGGAGTATGGCCGCGATGGAGGAGCTCGAAGTAAACAGATAGCACCGCATGATGTTTCTGGTACGCTTTCAAACCGGCCACCGGCCTTTAAACTAGCTTTGTCTATAGCGATGTCGACCGATGCTGAGGTGGGAGACTTCGAAAATGTAGAAGGGGGCTGCTAGAAAGAGCAAGAACAAGAGAGACATGGAAGGGAAGAGAGACAAATAATCAATAATACGTTCGATGGCATTTAAAACATTCCCTTGCGAGGAATACTTGCACCATTCTTACTTCGATCCATCTTTTATCCTTCGAATGTACCAACGTTCATAAATATCCGATTTGAGTATTAGTTAGAAGTAAAATATTTGAAAAATATTTAATATCTGATATGATATTCATATTATAATATATATATTTAATATTACATATATATATTTGAATTAATAATTTTGTGATTATTTTAAAATAATATCTTCTGAAATAGTTTTTCAAATAATTTCTGTATTATGCCAATCAGTAGTAAATTAAAATAAAAACTATTCTGAAAGAAAATACTATTACTTTTCAAAATAATCTAAATTTATTTTTCATTACTCAAATAAATATAGATATACAAAATTTAGTATTTAGCATCATAATATATTTTATATTATTATATATTACTCTATTTAAAAAAATTAATTAATATAAATGATTATTTGAGCATGATTTATTTGAGTTTTATATAAAATAAAATTATTTTGATAATAAATTAAAGAAAAATAATTATGAAATTAAATCATTTAATGACTTACCAATAGTATATTATATTTAAATACACAATTATTCATTATATTCACAAATTTTACATATAATTGCTTGATAATTAAAATATCAATAGCCACTTTATTATTTCAAAAAAACTTTTATGTTTAATTTAGAAAACTAAATTAAATCTAAAATTAAAAAACTTTTTGTAAAAACAAAGTAAGACAATAATTACGAATGTCAATCTTTGTTAATCTTTAAAAAAGTTATTTTAATTTTAGAAAAATAAAATCATTAATAGTAAAATCATTTAATTAGTTAAATAATTAATTAATTAATTACATACTGTCAAAAATAAGTATCGCGATATTTTTTACCAGAATATTTATATAAAACCTGTATTTGATTGATAGCTTATTTCTCTTTTCTCTTTGTTCTTTCCTCTGAATAATCTCTTTTGTCTCGAGGGCACTATGAAAAGTTAAAGTAATATTTATAACTAAAAATATTTTATTAACAAAAATAATCTTGAAAATTGGAAATCTTGAGAAATTTGTTTCAGACAGGTTTGATGAATTATAAATTTGTATGTCATATAATAATAACTTCTTAAATATTCAATAAAATAAAAAATTAATTAAAAAATTGTTTTTTTCTTTTTTTATTAATAGAAGCTTATTCAAAATTCATTTTAAAATAAAAACAAAGAAGTAAAAATAAGAAGTAAATAATAATTTTTATTAATAAAAATTAAAAAATTTTAAAGTTTAAATACAAATTTAATACATTTTATATATATATATATATATATATTATGTATAATATATTTATAATATATTTTAAATTATAAAAATAATAACATATAAACAAAAAATAACATATTGTAATGTTTGTGATGCAATTTCATTTTTTTATAATTATAATTTTATATAATTAGTTTTGATTTTAATTCGTATAATTTTTTTTAGAAATTGTCAAATATGATGAATTATTCAAACATAATATTTGATTAACCTTTATCTGAAATCGATAAATGGACAAAAATGGATTTTTTTCTGAAAATGTTGACTGAGTATATATTTGAAAAATTATTAAAACTGAGTAAATATTTTTTGTAAAATTATCATTATTTTTTGTAAAATTTATACTAATTAAAAAAATTTAATTTATTATTTATTAACTTACTTAATAATTTATTTGGAATTAATTTTTGTAGATAATTTCTTATGAAGAATTTATTTTCATTCCACTTTGAATCTAGAATTATATCATTTCTTAAATAGAACGCTAGTTTTTATCAAATATACACGTTCCTATCAACGGATGCGATGCGTCTCACTTAGAGTGAAACAATAAATTAAAGTATTAATGGAAAGAAATTAGCTACGAAAAGTTGTGTTGTGTTGTACATAAATATACATACAAAAAAAAAACAAAATATATACAAAAAAACAAAATACATAAAAAAAAATATTTATAAAACAAGTTATATTTATTATTTTTAATTTTTCTTTTTAAAAACTATTATTATTATTATATTATAAGAGAAAATTATTTTTTTTAATATTGAGGAAATTGATTTATACAGAAAAAGAATTTAAAAAAAATTTTTATTTTTATTTTATTATTATTATTTTTATTTTTTTCTTTTATATTATATGTACTTTTTATTATTATTATTAGCTTAAAATGAAATTTTTCATTTGTGATACTTACCTTTGATAATACTTTTAATAAATTGAATTAATAAAGTCAATTTAATATAAAAATTATTGATATTTTAAATAAAAAATAAAAAAATATTGTACGATTGAAAAACTGATTATTAAATTAGATGTAAATGTAAAAGCTATAAAAAGTGAAACAAATTGCACATTTTGATTTACAATAAACATCAAGAATAGGAAAACATGAACATGAAGAATTGTCGTTAAAAAGATATTTAATTTTAAGTAATCTAACATAGCAAACATAAAAGATTTTTACAAATTTCTCATTAGAAATATAAGTGTATTAAATGACAAATTGCTATTAAACAATGATCTGTACATAATTGTTTGAAATGTAATTAAAAATAATTATTATTTGATAATTTGTTTTCAAAATTTCTATTAAAGACAATTATAATTGTTTTTAATTAAGTTTATTTTAAAAAATACAATAATGTACTAATAAATATACTAAATACTATTAATTAATAGCTCAACTTTTAATTTAATCATAAAACTACAAAATAAAAATTGAATATAATTTTATCATTTATATAATTTTTATCATTTCTTATGACATAAAAATAATCTTTCAAAATTTAATAATCAGGCCTTAAAAAGCCAAGATTTAATAATAAATAATTCATGCTCATTTGTTTATATATATATATGTGCAATTTGATAAATATAAAAGAAGTAATAGAAATATTTTGAGTTTATTAAAACTTTTAAATAATTAAACAATGAAGATAATACTTTAATAAAGACAAAAATCTCTCATAGAATTGAGATCATAATTTGGTACTTATAAAATTATATCTTTGTATAATACATATGTTCATTGAATAAAAGATTACAATTAATCACTATTACATTTACTACAAAATTTTATCTTCATATCTACTATACACAATATAATAATAAAATAAAATTAAAGGTTAATACCCTGATGAAATTTTATTGAACTTCTATTTTGTTGTAATTCCTTCATTATTTCTTCAGCTCGTAACCTGAAAGTGTTTGCCAATTCTGCATTTTGTTGCACACCATCACCTTTTTTGTGCATTAAAGATACATTGGCGCATGCATAAGGATTGTTCAATTCACAACACTTTAATGATAATACATATGCTTCCTTTAAATTTTTTTCTATAATTCCTTCTATACCATTTAAGAAAATGCCTGATAAATAAAAACAAGCTTTCTCTTGATTAGCATCACAAGCCTTTCTTAGCAGTTTAATTCCAAGGGAAATCTGAGAATCCTTGCTTGATTCAAGTTTTGTCTGAGATAATGCAAGAGCGCCTGCATGAAGACAACCTCTTGGATCACTATTATCACAACCTTTTTGCATATATTTGAATGCCTCTATAGGATCCTTTGCACATTCTTTACCTATATGAATTCAATTTGTAATTTTACAAATAATAAATAATTTAATCAATATTAACATTAATATTAACATTAAAATTATTAAAAACAAAAAATAATAATATCATAAATATAATAAAATAATATCATATCATAAATTGTATTTGATAAATAAATGAAAATATTAGTTAAATTTTCGCAATACACTATTTTATGCGCTATTTTTACTTACCTATTACTTTATAATCACCATATTTTGTGCAACTTCTTCCATAATTGAATTCATCACAATTATTTTTATATATTTTTAATGCTTCTTTAGAATCTTGTTTAATAGATTCGTTATAATCACCCAATAAATGGCAAACTATTCAAAAACATAAAATATTATAAAATATGAGGTTAGAATCATTAACGATTTCATTACCTTCAGGTTTTTTCTCATTTAAACATCCAAATTGATATTCTATATGAAGATTTTTTAAATATTCTTGAACCTCGTCGCTATTTTTGAGATCATATCCTGCCATTTCTTAAATATTTTGAAATCACAATTTTAGATCAAAATCATCAATAAGATAAGCACATGGTTTCTATGTGGAAGACCAATCACGACGAAATGATGTGCGTGCGCATTCTATGATTTTTCGAATGAGCGCAAGTCGACAACGAAGGTATTAGTAATTCACACGTTGGAACGTATTTGTCAGTTCAGGTGTGCTTGTCATGCGGTAAACTATACATGTCAAATTATTCTGAAACTACACATGAAAAATTATTCCTCATAATTATAAGATAATTCATATGTTGAGGAAGAAAATATACGTTATATTAAAGTAAGTAACGAAAAAATTTATTAATACTTTTTAGTAAATTTTTAGTAAAACTTAATATAAATTGTTTTTAATAAAAATTTATATTCTTTTATTCTTTTTGTTAAAATTTGTTTGAATTACATATTTGATGTTTTAATTGTTTTGATATCAAATTAAGGTTATCAAATTATATTATTTTATATGAAAATCTTAAGATTTTAAAACATATATGTAACAATTATAAAAAAAATTAGAATTATCTTTTTTAGTTAAAAATTTTGTATTTCTTTTTAAAATTTATGTTAAGTAATTTTTCACATAATAAATAAAAATAGAATATTTTATTAATTCAAAAGAAAGAATTTTATAATCTAATGAAATATAAATAATATATTATATAATAATATAATATAATAAGATATAAAATGATTATTATTTAAACAAAAATAATGTTTTATATCTTATGCTATCTTAATTTTTTAATTTTCTGCAAGAACTTCAAAATATAACAAAATTTTTTACATACAAAATATATTTATAATCAAATGAAATATATATAAATATTTGCATAATTTTTAGTAAATTAAAAGTTAAGTTTGATATTTTTGACTTAAAAGACTTATAAAAAACAAAAATTATAAATAAAATGTACAAAATTTCTTTGATCATTTAAATGTATTTGAATATGTATTTATATCAAAATGTATTTAAATAAATATGATAAATGAAAAAATTTATATATGCATCATGCTATCATAAAGATATTCAAAATTACATTATTCCAAACTTTTCTTCTATTACGTTAATTTTCAGAATTATCAAAACATTTATTTGATTAGAAGACCGTCTTTTTATCTTTTCTTCAGAATTGATCAGAATTCATGTATATATTATCAAGCGTAAATATAGAATAAATTGTATGTACCTCTTCAACATTACTTTATTCTCGATGTATCGTAATATATATATATATATATATATATATATATATGTGTGTGTATGTATGTATTTATGTACTTTTGTATCTAACGTAACTTTTTTTGACATGAGAACATCAGTGACTATCTATATAGGATTAGTAAGTACTTTCATACTCATCTATTAACCTTTTGAACTTGACCTATTTACATATTCACTGTCTGTCCAATTTGATTGATATTCCGATTCTATGCGATTATATATAGGTAGTACTTTAAATGACATGATTGATTATATTTACAACTTATTTAATACAACTTATTTAATGTTTTTTACATACACTTAATGCATATATTAGATATCTTTATTTATGAATATACATATATATAAAATACTTTATTTTCAGTTTATCTATTATTTATTTTATCTATAATAATAAATAAAATATTGAATATTAATAACTAGATCTTAAGAGAAAAAATAGAAATAATTTCTTAGAATTTATCTATAGATCTTAAACAAGTTAATATTTCATTATTTTTAATATGTGACATAATGATTTTATTATTAAATTACAATTAAATTAATTAAATGACTTCAATAATATAATTCTTATATTATTTTTTAAAATAATTCAGTATATTATTTCATATTATACTTTCATATTATAAATAATAATTTAAAATTTATGTATGATATACCTACTTATGATATATATGTGTCATGTGTTATATATATAATATATATAATATATTATATATATGATATATATGTATCATATATATAATATATATAATACATATAATATATTATATACATTTAATTATAATTTTAAATTATCAAATTTTTATTATATTATATAATTTCAAATAATATGTTTCACATTCAAATATAATTCTATGATCATGTATTTACACAAAAATAGATGTATACGAGTATATGCCACAATTTAAGATGATTCAACGCTTAAGTGGATTCAAGGACAACACACACATTCTATTAACACATAAATAAAATATTTAATAACTAAAAATTACTTAATTCTTAAAAAACACATAGATTGGTATCGCTTCTAATGGCGTCAAAAATATTATTAAATATTATTATTATTATTAAATATTATTAAATATTATATTACAATTACATAAAATACTTCTAATATTCAAAAAAATTTGTTTTAATATTCAAAAAAATTAACTATAACATTTTTTAAATTTTTAGATTGATATTTTATTCAATTTGAAATAATTTTCGGTTTTTTAATATATATTCGACTTCTTTTTATGTTATAATATTAAATTAAAATTACACTATCTAATATTAATCTACTATACTTTATTATACGTTACTATTATTGACCTTATTGATTTTTCTTATATGTAAACGTTTTTAATTTTTATAATTTTAAAAAATAGTCAAAATTATACTTTTTATAAAATAAAATAAAATTTATTGCGTATTTCATCTTTGCTGAAATTCGTTCATACAACGCCAAATTTGACCGCAAGGCGGAGTCTGATCTAGTTTCTTTTCATCTCCAGATGAGCGAGTCTGTGAAAGTGGCCGTAAGATGTCGGCCGATGAATGCTCAAGAGTTGCAACAGGGATGCAGGGTACGTTCACAGTGAAGAAGACCAATGAACACAACATCGATGCTTCAAAATTTGTATTACATGCACTTATATGAATCAACCAACATGCACTGTGTGTGCTTCTATTTCTTTTTCTTGTTTTGTTTATCTCTTGAAAATATGTGGAAAACTCATTGTTCTATTGAACGCATTGTAGCCTAGCGACCATATCAAAACATGCGACTGACATGCATTAACGCTACAATGTTCATGTTTGATTTTTCATGGTATGTTCTTTTGTAAATTTCTTTTTTTTTTTTTTATCTAAGTTGATTGAATACATGACATCAATTAAATATTAAATCGTTATTTAGATTGCTATAAAAAGTTTTTTTTCAATTAAAATTTTAGAGAAATTTTAGAGATAGAAAATTTTTACGATGTCTAACTTGTCTATTTCAATAGAAAGTTTCTTTTTGATAGAAAGTTTCTTTTCTTTTATTATTACTTTATGTAATATGATGTGATTTTAAAAATTTAAATTACAAGAACATTGATATAATTAAAAATTCGTTCGAAAAATTAAATTTTTTAACAGGAATTATCTCTCTTTAGTTTCACAATATGTAATTCTATATCTATATGATTATTTTATAAAATGCTGTTTCGTACCGATTTCAAATTTAATTTCATTTTAATAAAAGTGTTTGGAAATATATTTTTAATATTTCGTAAAGATTTCATTTTATATATATATATAATATATTATATACTATATTATGTATTATACATTATAGTACATTATATATATTAGGTTGAATAGTCATTAAGTTATCTCCTTAATATAACAATTATCAATTTAATAATCAATTTAATATATAAAATTTAAATTAAATATTAATATATATATATATATATATATACTACACATAATTATTGTGATATTTTTCATATAAAAATATTAAAATATAGTATCTCATTCGTTTATATATTTTTAATTAAAAAATTTTTTATTTTTTTTTCAGCATCTATTTTATATCTAAATTATCGTTAGAAATTTTTTTTTAATACAAAATTAATTATGATATAAAATATCAAGAACTTGAGTTTCTGTTAAATAAAAAAATTAGTTAAATACTATAATTAATGAATTCAAAAATTTATACTAAAAATATTAAATAAAAATACCTATTTTTTATATTCCTTTTCATCCCATTATTTTTCAACGATAAAAGTATAAATTTCAAGGAATATTATAATAGAATATTATAATAAACTAATTCATTTATATGAACAATTATTGATTGTTTCATTTTTCTATGTTTCATAGATAATAAAAATAATTTCTATATGTATAATGGTATGCAAGAATTATATACTTTTTTTTAACTTTGAAAAATATAATTAATTTTATTACAGTGGCATTTTCTATAAAAAAATTATTATACTTATTATTAATTATTAAGATGTTAAAGATTATCTAATTAATAATTCAAGAAAAGATTCAAAAAAATTTATCTGACTGACTTTTATACGTCATTGTTATATATTTATTATGAATCATATATATAATTATATTCACTCAAAAATCTAATATACACGCGCATTTCATGTGTCAGTGTGTCAATCACGTGTATCGTCATGCATAAGCGTAAAGAAAGGAAAAATATGAAAAAAAATAAAGTGGTGTCATAACTGTAGCTTTCCATCGATTTGGCATATATTCCTATCGATAAGCAACACTGTAGTAAGCATTCACATACTATATGAGAAAGATATAACATCAATTCAATACCGTTATCTATGCACCACGTATACACAGATCAGCTTAGCGTGCTGTTACCTTCTGAATATATTATGGAATAGTAAATTTAATGACGACTTAACGTTCACGAAGCTTCGTGATATATTTAATCATGGAGAATATTGATAGACATTCTATGAGAATGAAAAGTTAACATTTGAAAGGCAAAATAATTTTTTTCTTTTATTGTTTAAAAATATAAAATATAAACTTCGTTTTTTATATATTTATTTAAATTTTTATAATTTAGGAATGTAGGTTATGTAAGAATGCAGAAAGATAAAATGAAAGATGGTTAAATGGTTTACTAAGGAAAAAAATTATTGGGAGAAACGTTCATTATTTACTTCTTAATATATTTAGTAAGTTTAATTTTCAATTGTTATCTTTAATTCATGGATAATATAATATATAATATAATATAATAATATTAATTACTTTCAAGTAATATGTAATTTTACATTATCGTATTTTGTTTAGAAATAAACTAAACTAA